ATAAAGTCGAAGGTGCATGCTAACAATGTAACAGGTATCCCTTGAAGAATTTTAAGCTAACAAAGGAGTCAGGAATTACAGAATGATAAAATCACCACTTTGTGACCTCTGATCAAATAACAGATTTAAGATAAAAATCAGTAAGTTGGACCTTTGAGTTAAATCGTTGACGGAAACTTGACAGCAGGAGGGATCAGGCTGCAAGACCTGAACCCACTGACTAAGTGTGCATGAAGGGTGGTGCTTCTGCCAGATAAAGTACAGAGCAGCCCCCACAAGAAAACCTTGGGGGTCAGGGGGAATGAACCTGAATTAAAAAAAAAAAAAAAAAATATATATATATATATATATATATATATATATATATATATATATATATATATATACGTACACACACACACGTACATGCATATGTATATATATACACACATATGTATATATATATATATATTTTTTAATTAAGGTATATGTGTACATATCTTTTCATTGCCCCCCTAAAAAATATATTTTATTGATTTTTTACAGAGAGGAAGGGAGAGGTATAAAGACTTAGAAACATCGATGAGAGAGAATCATCGATCAGCTGCCTCCTGCACACTCCCTACTGGGGATGTGCCCGCAACCAAGGTGCATGCCCTTGACCGGAATTGAACCTGAGACCCTTGAGTCTGTAGACAAATGCTCTAATTCACTGAGCCAAACCGGTTAGGGCCGAACCTGAATTTAATCAAACCTTTTAGTGCTTTCTTTCCTTTTAGAGAGAATAATGGGACTAGAGGAACAAGTTAAACAACACGAGGACACCACCGCTAAACCCCGTGTTGGGGCTTATAGGAATCCATAGACAAACTATTAGCAGTGAACAAACGATGCCAGCAACATTGCTGAGTCCAAGGTCAGTAAAAATCCATCACATTGGTCTCTTCTCATCAGAAGATGAAAATGTTTAATAAGCATCCCATTCTGGGTAGCCATAAAAATAAAGTATGTGGGATACATATGACAAAAAGATGTGCAGGACTTTTATAAAGAAAGCCATAAAACTTTACCAAAAAACAATAAAGACTTAAATCAGTGGAGATCCTACGTTAATGACTGTAAAGTTCAGTCATAAGTCGCATTTTTGCAAATTAATCTATAAATTCCATGCAACTTGAAGAGAAAAGTATCAGAAAGGGCATTTTATGGAACTCGCAACTCCATCTTAAAAATGTATAGTTTCCTCCCCTTGATGTCATTGTAACTGTAAAACTGCCCTAAAAAAGACTTTAAATTTAAAAAAAAATAATAATTCCAGGAATAGAACAAGCAATTTTGAACTTACTCTAGTAGATAGATTTTTTTTTTTTAATCAAATAGAGAAAAATAGCCCAAGAAAGCCAGTCCCAGACCCATACACATACAAAAACTTGGTAAAGGATAGAGGCAACCCTATCTATCAGAAGAACAAGGAGCCACTTGCAGAAGCAAGAAATCAGGTGGTATCAGGAACTAACTCATAAAGATTTAAGGTAGAATCAAGTACTGGATATAAAATGCAAATCTTTCAACATTTCAGAAAACAGAATATCTTTGACCTTGAGGTAGCTAGTGAAGCAAAGTTAAAATATAAATCACAAACTGTGAGAAAGTATTTCCAAGGCATATTACTAACCAAGGATAGCCCTGAGCAGTTTGGCTCAGTGGATAGAGCGTTGGGTAGTGGACTGAAAGGTCCCGCCCGGGTTTGATTCTGGTCAAGGGCATGTACCTTGGTTGCGGGCTCCATCCCCAGTGGGAGGCATGCAGGAGGCAGCTGATTGATATTTCTAACTCTCTATCCCTCTCCTTTCCTCTCTGTAAAGAGTCAATAAAATACATTTTTAATAAATATATCCATAATATGTTGAGAACTCTCAAATGCAGAAGACCTCAATACAAAAAAAAAAAAAAGAAGAAGAAGAAGATATAAACAAAACTCACAAATGTGTGGAAGCCTAAAAGGTCAACATACAAATGAAAAGGTGGTCAGGCTCACTGGAAATATATTGTAAAATAAAATGAAAGACCACTTCAGTTCACATGGGCAAAAATTGGACTAATATTAAGTACAGGAGAAGTGTGGGGGGCCAGGCACTCTGCTACACTGTGGATGAGAAGATGAACTGGTTCTCCCACCGGGGAGACCCGTTTGGGAGTAGTGAGGTACGCTGAAACTGCACACACCCTCTGACCCAGTCATTTTATTTCTGAGTACACACTCAGCCCATAAACTCTTGCACATGAGCACAAGATGTTGAAATATGTTTGTTCACTGTAACATTGGTTGAGATGATAAAAAAAAAAAGCCACATTAAAATGTTCCTAACAACAGGGAAACTAGAAGTAAATTGTGGCATATTCATACTACGGAATACCAAACAGCACTTAAAAGGAATGAATTAGATTTACATGTATCAGATACATTTCAAAATACTAAAGGGAAAAAGCAAGCTGTAAAAGGATACATACAGCACAACTGCCATGCAATCTGTTTATAGGTACACCTGTATATGAACCTTCAAGCAAACAGAGCAAATGTTGTGATCTAAAGCTGGTGGTGCTGCCCAGCTGGCGTGGCTCAGTGGGTGAGTAACGGTTCAATTCCCGTTCAGGGCACATGCCCGGGATGTGGGCTCAATTCCCAGTAGGGGGCGTACAGGCAACAGCTGATCAATGATCCTCATTAATGTTTCCTCTCTCCTCTCCCTTCCTCTCTGAAATCAATATATATATATATATATATATATATATATATATATATATATATATATATATATATATAAATTAATGAAGTTGGGTATATTTACAATAGAAATTATCCTCTGAGGTACTTTCAGTGCCTGACCTATTTTTTGTTAATCCTCACCAGAGGATCTTTTTTTCATTGCTTTTTGAAGAGTGGAAGGAGAGAAACATTGATGTGAAAGAGACACATCAATTGGTTGCCTTCTGTAGGGTCAGGAATCACACCTGTAACCCAGGTACATGACCTTTTCCTAGAATCAAACCCAAGACCTTTTGGTGTGTGAACCAATGCTCTAACATCAGCCAGGACAGTGCCTGACCTATTTTAAAAATTAAAAATAAAAGTAGCCAAATGCAAAAATATCAGGGGGAAAACAATGCTTGCCACCTTTTAGTAAACCAATTTTTTATGATACAAATTACTGGTAGAATTATAATTCAGTAAAAAATAAAACTTAGGCCCAACCAGGGTGAGCCAGTGGTTGAGCATCAGCCTATGAACCAGGAGGTCACGGTTCAATTCCCAGTCAAGGCACATGCCTGGGTTGTGGGCTCAATCCCCAGTGTGGGGTGTGTAGGAGGCAGCCAAGCAATGATTCTCTCTCATCATTGATGTCTCTCTCTCTCTCTTTCTCTCCCATTCTCTCTCTCTGTCTCTCTCTCTCTCTTTCATCTTTGAAGTCAAAACATTTTAAAAAAATAAAACTTAGTTTTTCTATTTTAAATTGTTTTGGGTAGTCAGGCCCACAAAAAATGACTTAAATTGGGCATTTTATTTCTCCTAACTGGGGCACATTCCTAACATACTCTTTGACTGACACTCTTTTTAAAAAATATATATATATATTTAATTTCAGAGAGGAAGAGATAGAAACATCAATGAGAGGGAATAATTGATTGACTGCCTCCTGCAAGCCCCCCCGCTGGGGATCGAACCCACAACCCAGGGATGTGCCCTTGACTGGAACCAAGCCCAGAACCCTTGAGTCCACAGGCTGATGCTCTATCCATTGAGCCAAACCAGTCAGGACAATGACAGACACTCTTGGTCCCCAACCCAATGGCCCTTTCTCTTGCTTCCAGAACCAATTCTGTCCGGGTTCAAAGGGTTTCCACAACCAAGGGGAGGAATCTTAATCCTTTTAAGGCAATTACAGTAATTCCCTTCTCTCGGTGCAGGGAACAACCCTCAACCAAACCTCAACAGCCAGGGCCCGAATTCCCTTCTCCGTGTCAGGAAAGTGATTAGCAATGTCTTGTAGTGCACAAGTAGGTGAAGTCCAAGGCGCCTCTGTGGAAAAGGAACATCTCAGAGACACGGAGTAATACACAATCCCTCCTCTTCTGGGCTTCAGACATTGTTGTGATGCCTGGAGATGTTGATACGGCCTTGCTCAACCAGAAAGGGTCCATCCTTGGGGAGGTAGGGGTGGTGGTGGTGGTGGAAATGGCCAGAGAGAGGTCGGGGGGTAGAAACATGTCATACTTTAAACAATAAAAAAATTTAAATTTAAATAAAAAGGGCCCATCCCAAGGCAGCAGCAGCAGCTGGATGGGCAGAAAAACATGGAAAGAACGATCCTAAGTCCCTGCACACGACCCTCAGCGGCCGAATTCACCAATCTCGGGATTGTCCTGCCCAGACTTCTCGTGAAACCCACTTTCTTCCTGTTTTAAGACCCACTGAATTGCTCTTTAACAAAACGGAACACAAAACTCTGACGAATGCACAAATCCCAGTGAGTTCTGGATGGCTATAAAGACCTTGTTATTCTCATACGAGCCGGAGGCAGAGATTTTGCAAACTACACAAATAGCTGCAGCTGTACACACGCACCCCAGTTCCGCCTCACACTTTCCTAATCGTCGAACTGTCGGAAAGAGAATGTGCCGACTTTGCTTTTTGCATTGATAGCCATGTTGAGAAATGTGATGAGTCCACATGTGCTTCTTCGGTAGAATTTAGTATATGTGCTGCCGAAGCGAGCACTTCTTCGGTAGAATTTAAAGGCTATCACATTCCTTTATAACTCTTCCCCCTTAGTTCCCTAAAAGTCTTTGAATGTGTTTTCCAACAAGAGGCGAACCCCATGGGTGTGTTTCTGCTTGTGCCCACCCCTGTGGAGACCCTCTCACTTGTACCATAGTGAGGATAGAGGTGCCAGCTCCTCCAGCTCTGGAGAAAGCTTTCTTCTAAATGCCACCCTTCTCTAATAATTAAACAAGTACAAAGGTAGGGATAATAAGATGGATTTATTTTAAAAGACTACAAAATTCGACATGAAGAGAGATAAAAAAGACCCACAGAATTTCAGTTGATAAATACAAAAATGATTGGCTATAAACAATGTAAAAATACATTTCCCATCCCAAAACAGAATATAATTTAAGTTACAACAATTATAAAAGTTTTATGTTGTAAGTGCATTTCCCTTATTTTTTTTAAAACTATTCTAAACAGTTTATTTGTATAAAATATAACAAATTAAGTGTATCATAGATGTTAATAATTATTTTAACCTTGAGTTTACTGAGTCTGCCTTTTCCTGTACGTAACAGTGATTTTGGTCGCAAGTTCTCCTCAAACTTTATTTACAATGGTCTTTTTACTCCTAATTTCTTCTATAATAGAAGAGGGAGGAAATCAGTCATAAGGCCCATAAAAATCAGAGTGAAGAAAGGTTCCAGAGAGACCAAAAATGCCAGTGAGTATATTATCCTTCTGAAAAAGGTAAAGATTAAGTGGCCCCATGCCAAGAAAACAAAGAGAAAGGAACTGTCAGAACAACCAGGGCTTAAGCTCATGCCAGCTGTGTGTGTAAAGCCAGCTGAGACAAAGCCACCAAACCCAATGCATGGGTGGGAACCCTGAGGTAGTCCAGGTGGTTTGCTGTCACCCCTCGCTGGATCGAGGTGATATTTACAATGGCAATGGTACAGTATTTTGATGTGAAATTCCAGAACTTGCCTACCAAAGGCTGGTTCTTTTTGGCCAGTCTTTATTCTTGAGCCCAAGACCCAGGTTATTTCTCCTTCCTTAGATGGCCCGCCCAGTCACACCAGCATCCATGATTGGTTTCATTATCTCCCAGGCAGGTGTTGGTGACATCACCACTAGCACTAGCATCCAAACTGATTCACATAGGTAAGCCTGAGTCACTAAGCCAGCGCAGAAGCTGTGCCTGGCCAACAGGGCTAATTTTTGAGAACCACATCAGCCACATTTACTCAGCAAAAACCTATCTACAAAGGGCAGATGAGAAGTTAAGAAAGGATGGGGTCATTAAACTGCCCCATTGGAGACAGGATTCCACTTTTTCAGATAGAAAACCTAGGATGCCTAGCCGGGGAGACCTACACCAAAGTCCTTCAGGACCTGATGCAAAGTCTCAGCACCTTAACACCGAAGACTTGAGTCAAAAATCCAGGAGGAGGGCAAGAAAGATCTAGTTTGGGACCCAGCACCAGACAATTCTTCCCGATGATCAGAACTGGTTATGAAGTGCCTCTTGAGAATAGTGTGACTACTCCCTACACCATCAACAGTATTAACCTGGGCGAGATTCTCTAGATTATTGTAAGGTCTTCCTCCAAAGAGAAACTAGAGCAGTGCCTCTTGGGAACAAAACCCTAAGGATCATGCTAACACTCGAGGCAATAAGAACCCAAGATCCTGGGCCACCGAAAGGCACTGCCAACAAGGAGCCAGAGGCCCACCTCTGCTTGGCGGGGAAGCAGTGTGTGGGCCATTCCGGCCTGGAGACAGAAGCACGAGCATCTCAGAGGAGGAATAGCAGGCTGGGGTTTTAAAAAGGAGGGCCTGCGGAGCCGCTAGTTTCAGTGGAAATAATCAGGTGCCAACAGGAGAACGAACCCTCTCTCCCTCACAGTATGCACTCACCTCTTCAGACACTTGGTAAATGGCTGAAGCCTGCTCTTGTAATTTCACTGTATTGCACAAAAGGTATGTCTTTATTGTCTTTGGTCCTTAGGTGTGATAGCAGTTTCTTCCATTTTTCTATGTGTTACATAAAAAATTTTTTTCACTTGGTATCAACCACCACCAAAGTGCAGTATAAATTTTGGGTTGCTGATGTTGCTTTTATACATATAAAATACCAACATCTCCCATACATTTTCTATTAGGCAACAAAAGAGCTTATAACAATTATCTTAAAACGTTATAATTTTAAGGCCAAGGGAAATACAGCAAAGCCTAAGCAATTATATTTTAAGGAAAAAAACCTAGACCAACATTTAAAATATTTAATATAAAAATTTAAATATACATTACATTTTATCTAATCATCAAAAAATAAGCTCATAGCTAAGCAAATTATCTTAAAAATGAAATAATATCTAAATGGATTAATTTAATCATGCTGTTTATATAGCTAAGCCTAGTAACAATAACTGAATAATTTATCATCAGTGAGCTGAGATTTAAAGAAACTGCCCTTCCCCCCCCCCCCCGAAAAAAATAAACTTCATTGATACAAGTTTCAAATGCTATACAAAAAACCCCTCTGGCCTAACTGGTGGTGACTGACTCCCTGTTTAATATTGATAAAATTGCCTCTGGCCCTTCCCCTTGCTCTTCAGAAGTGGTTTAGCAATTACGCAGAGAGCACTAGTGGTTTTGCTGGGCTCGGGTACCACCAGCCGCCTCCTGGCATGACACCTGCTCCCTAGTCTTCAAGCATTGAGCGGTTCAGTGAGGGGCTCTGCCCTATCAGGCTCAGGTTTCCTCATCTGGGACTCCCGTCGCTTTTCAACCATCATGAAGACAAAGTCGCCCACGAACATAAAACTTGCTAGAAAGCCAAACCCCTGAGGAGAAAAAAGGGGCAGAAGTTATAGGAGGAGTTTTATAATATCATCTCACATTTCCTACTTGGCTTTGAGAGTGTTTCATACGAGCAAGACGATTCATCAATTTTATCTTAACTTCAGTGGTAAGGAAATGTTTAAGGTCATAGCTATTAGTCAAGACCTCACAAGTGCCCAGTCTTATAAAGTACATGTTCATTTGTGGGATGCCAATCTATGAAACTAAGGTTAATACAATAGATGAAAACCAAAATCCTGTAAGATGATACAAACACGGGATTACCAGCAATGGTTAAATGGACCCACAATGAGATAAGGGACCTATGTGAGTAGGAAGCTGAGCCTATGTAAAAATGGAAAAAGTTATTAATGTAAAAAAAAAACCAACCCACCAAATTCTATTTTGAATAGAACTATCTAAAAAAATATATATTTTCCAGTTACTTGTCAGTCTCTAATGACACAGCAACATGACGACACTATTGACTTCCTCTTCCTTAAACCACTTCCTCATTATTGCACTTCTTTGATCGACATTCCGAGAATTCCGTCAAGAGACAGAAGACCTGGTTCAAATTTAGCTCTTCACTAGCAAAACCACAGGGGAACTGGGAGCCAAAGTGCTCCATGAGAGAGAGAACTGGTACAGGTAATGGCTAACGTCCCTGCCAACTCCAGCACCCCATCTCCATGGTGCTCTCCTTGCCTGGTGGCATCTGTCCCTCACTGGCCTGGCTGATTCAGGACTAACGGTAGACAGATGTCACTTTGTCTGAGAGGCCATCGCTGATCCCGGAGCCCCCAGTCCATGCAGAGCTCTCTATGCCATAGCATCCAGGTAGGTGACCTTCCAGCTCTTCTGCTGACTTAATTCACACACACAAACATTTTAATGGATTCCCTCATTTAATTCTACAAAATGTTTCATAATTTAAAGTGCAAAAGGTAACTTTCAGCACATTATTGTTCTTAAGCTGCCAGTCATTCTTAATCCAAATGAAATCTAAATACTGTAATGACCTGACATATCATCTAATTTAAGTAAATAAGCTCATTTTTAAAAAAATATATTTTATTGATTTTTTTATAGAGAGGAAGGGAGAGAGATAAAGAGCTAGAAATGTCGATGAGAGAGAAACATCGACCAGCTGCCTCTTGCACACCCCCTACCAGGGATGTGTCTGCAATCAATGTACATGCCCTTGAACGGAATTGAACCTGGGACCTTTCAGTCTGCAGGCCAAACTGGTTTCGGCAAGCTCATTTTTAATAAATGGGAATTTTATGCATGCTTTCCTCCCTTAAACTCAATTTTAAAAAATACATATATTTTATTGCTTTTCTACCAAGAGGAAGGGGGAGGGATAAAGAGTTAGAAACATCAATGAGCAGAAACCGGTTTGGCTCAGTGGATAGAGCGTCAGCCTGCGTACTGAAAGGTCCCAGGTTCGATTCCCGTCAAGGGCATGTACCTTGGTTGCAGGCTCATGCCCTGTAGGGGGTGTGCAAGAGGCAGTTGATCGATGATTCTCTCTCATCGATGTTTCTAACTCTATCCCTCTCTCTTCCTCTCTGTAAAAAAAAAAATCAATAAAATATATTGTAAAAAAAGAAAAAAAGAAAGAAACATCGATGAGAAACATTAATCAGCTGCCTCTTGGCACCCTCCCTACCGGGTATGTGCCTGCAACCAAGGTACATGCCCTTGATAGGAATCAAACCTGGGACCCTTGAGTCCGAAGGCCAACACTCTAGCTACTGAGCCAAACCAGTTAGGGCTAAACTCAACTTTTCCTCAACTTCATTTCACTTTCTCCACAGGATTTATAATGACATATTTCTATACTTGAAAATATTTTCCTGACTATTCTATCATCATCCTCCACTATAAAAATATGTATGTAAACTGAAACTGGCCATAAGGCTCTATTAAAATGTTTGGTTTTCTCTTTAATTGGTTCATGTCTTCCTGGATAAATATTACTACTACGTACTAGAATGAGTCACAGTGCTGCATTAATTTTATTTTGTTTTTACCCATGTAAATGCTAAGAAACCATGAATAGGTAGGTAGAGCCATGCAATTCCTGAACTCCTTTTAAGTTGTTCTATCAAAAAAAGTAGTTTTAATTATCTATTAGCCGACTACTGGAAACTGTTCACACGCAGAGCACTGTGCCAATTCAGGTCCCTAAGCGCAACGTTTTCATGATTTGCTTGGTTCAACACGGGGCAGAACTATTTTCGATCTTCACTTATTCGTTTTACTGCCGATATTCACATTTCAGAAATACTAATGTGCTGGATTACAGGATACGGCTCAGGCCCTCTGAAGGTATTGTGGAATAAAGTTTATGTACAGCAATACCTTTCTAAAATCCAAAATATTCTGAATTCTAAAAAAAAAAATCTGCTTCCCCCTGCCAAGGATTTCATAAAAAAATCGTATCTTTCATTAGGCTCCACTTTTGGATCATTTCTCCTGTGCAGTCTCTACACCTGGCATGCAGATGTGTTTTTGTTAAACCAAAAAGTAGAGAATAAGATAATAAAGTCGATTTTACCACTTGCATTAGCAATAACATAGTCGTGTGTGGAGTAAATGGGCTTTTTATTAACAAAACTCAAGTTCTAAAGACAGGTTCTAGGCTATTCAGGCTATCAGATTTAAAGATATCATTATTTACTTTTACGTTTTCTACTCAAAATTACAATAAAAAATAAGTTAAAAGACAAACTACTCTCCCGTATTGTATAACTTGTCAAGTACTTTCCAGATTCCATGTTTCTAATGAAATGAAAATAAGCAAAGATAAAAATACGAGGTACTTACAATTGCAGCCCTTTCAGCTGAGGTACGGTCATGCATGAAGGCGAAAATGATGGATGCCAACAAAAACACAAGTCCTATCCCCCCAGTAATCCACATGTCCTAGACATAGACAAATGCATAAGGAATGCATAAGGTTAGGTTGATAGAAACAAATATTTCAGTTTTTTACTCTTAAAAAAAATTAGTGACTTATTTTCTTCACACAACCAAAATTTACATACTTTGAGACTTTTAAAAAATATATATTTTTATTGATTTCAGAGAGGAAAAGAGAGAAAGATAGAAACATCAATGATGAGAGAAAATCTTTTATTGGCTGCCTCCTGCATGCCCCCACCACTGGGGATCGAGCCCGCAGCCCAAGCATGTGCCCTTGACTGGAATTGAATCTGGGACCCTTCAGTCCACAGGCTGATGCTCTATCCACTGAGCCAAACCGGCTAGGGTGAGACTTGTAACTTTTCAATTAGCCTGACATCCTATAAAGGAACATCATCTATGCTTTGGACAGGGCTCATTCAGAGAATACGTTACAAAATAATCTTTTTATGAAATAGTCCCCCAAGGAGTGTGTGTGTGTGTGTGTGTGTGTGTGTGTGTGTTTCCCTGAGTTTTATGCTTGACCCCCATAGGGACTGTGCAGGAGGCAGCCAATGGATGGTTCTCTCTCTCTACTCCTTCCCTTCCTCTTTCTCTAAAATCAATTTTAAAAATTTATCAAAGTCAACTGGGAAATGCGACAACAAACTAGATCACAAACAAAAGAAATGGAGGACAAAAAGCGTCTGGATATAGAGTTCAAATCTACGCTTATAAGGTTTTTCAAGAATTTCCTAGAAAAGATGGATAAGGCCTATGAGGATATGAAAAGAGATCAACTAGAATTAATAAGGAGTCATCGAGAAATGATAAGGGATCAACAAGAAATAAAGAATACATTGTCTGAAATAAAAAATATTTTACAGAGTCCTAAAAACAGAAGGGAAGATCACAAGAATCAAGTCAAAGATTTGGAACATAAAAAGCCAGAAGACACTCCTCCACAGAAGCTAGAAGGCAAGAGAATCCAGAAAATTGAAGATAATGTAAGAAACCTCTGGGACAACTTCAAGCGAACCAACATCAGAATTATTGGGGTTCCAGAAGATGAGAGAGAGCAAGATATCGAAAACATACTGAAAGAAATAGTGACAGAAAACTTCCCCCACCTGGTGAAAGAATTAGACTTACAAGTCCAGGAAGCGCACAGAACTCCAAACAAAAGGAATCCAAAGAGGACCACACCGAGACACATCATTATTAAAATTCCAAGAGCAAAAGACAAAGAGAGAATATTAAAAGAAGCAAGAGCAAAGAAGGTAGTAATCTATAAAGGAGCACCTATACGATTGTCAGCTGACTTCTCAACAGAAACCATGCAGGCCAGAAGGGAATGGCAAGAAATATTCAAGGTAATGAATAGCAAGAACCTACAGCCAAAAATAATCTACCCAGCAAAGCTATCACTCAGAATCGAAGGCCAGATAAAGAGCTTCACTAATAAAAAAAAGCTAAAGGAGTTCATCACTGCCAAACCAAAATTATATGAATTGCTGAAGGGGGTTCTTTCAGAAGAGAAAGTAAATAAAGATAAAAATTATGAACAACAAATATGTAACTATCAACAAGTGAATCTAAAAACCAAGGAAATTAAAAAAATCTGATGAACAATATTAACTATTGAATATAATAGAATCAGAGGTATGGAAGGGGAGTGAACTGACGATTCTTGGGGAAAAGGGGAGAGGGGGGCGTTGGAAGAGACTGAACATAAACTGTGCACCTATGGATGAGGACAATGGGGAGAGGGGAAAGGGCAGAGGGTGGGGTGGGAACCTGGTGGAGGAGAGCAATGGTGGGGGGGGGGGGAAAGGAACATTTGTAATAACATGAACAATAAAAACTTATTAAAAAAAATTTATCAAAGTCAAAGGGTTTATTAAATTCTATATCTTACTTCAAGCAAAAGTAAGCATTTTTCTTTCCTTTTCAACGTATTCTGTGCTAGGACAGCCTGAGAGGACTGTGGTGCTTTGAAAGCACTTTGGAAAATAGAGAATCAAAGGAACTCCCCATCGTTAACTAAAATCATGTCAATAGGTTTTTTAGCCACTTAAACTTTCTGTAATAGCATATTGTTTTCAATTATTCCTCAATTATTACTTGGGTGGGTAATCCAAAATGAGCCTGTATGATGGACTATCCACTACCATAAAGGCTTCCATATCTCATCACAATGAAGCGTCCAACAATGAGGTTCTTCATGGATTTCCAAGTGCTCTCTCAGCATCGCCTCATAAGGCTCCCTCTCTCTCTCACATGCCAGCTGAAAACTGCTCGACACACATACTTGATTCAGAGGAGAAACGTAAATGATAACCACTCCAAAGTGCTTAAGTCTGATACTTTGTGTTTTTGGAAATGCAATCTCTACTAAACCTAATATCGATAAAACTATGCAACAGAGGATTCCTATCACACTGTCAATTTGTTCACTTAACATTTATAAAAAATTAAAGATGTTTTTTCTCTTTGCTCCTAAAAGAAGTATTTTTCTGAGGCAAGGGAATAGAGGTAGGCACTAAGGGGTCAATGGGAGAAAAGGGGACACACTCACACACACACACACACACACACACACACACACACACACATATATATATATATATATATATATATATATATATATATATATAAAATACTTTAACAATAAGCATTTTAAAAATAAACAGAATAGGTGTTTTTCTGCAGTGTTTTATTTCTATCCCCTTGAATATTATTTCAAATCTACAAACATATAAAACCCTATTCACTAATATTTAGATTACATTCAGGGAGGTATTTAAACAAGACAGTCATTTTGAGACAGAATAATGTACTATTCAGTACAATGGGCTCTAGAGCCAGACTATCCGAGTTCAAACTCCCGTTACACCGTTTCCAGCTCTATGGCTTTGAGTTAGTTACTTATTAACATCTATGTGCCTTTGTCTCCTCATCTGCAAATGGAGGAAATAACAGTACCTTCTTCAGTAGATGATTCTGAAGATTAGTGTTAATCCACTGCAAGTGCTTAGATCAGTGCCAGGCACACAATAAATGTCCCATAGGAGCTTACTACCATTATTCTCCCTAGAATCTGACCCACAATAGCATGGGTTACAAAAGATTCTTTCTTGTAAAAGATTACCCTTCTGCCCTAGACACCACCACCACCCACTCAGAATGTTTTCTCTAGAACAGAAAACCTCCCTTACATGAAAATATATTTAAAAGTCAAGTATATTAATATGCACACAGTAAAAGTGATTTTTAAACCATTGAAGCAAACATGAAATCAATCCTTACGTAGTTAGAAAAAAAAGCAGAATGTATATAACTCAATGATTACCTATTAAATTTTGGGAAAGAGAGAATCAAAAGTACTATTCATCATTTATTAAATAAAATCATGTCAATAGTATGTTTTTTAGCCACTTAAACTTTCTGTAGTAACATATTTTAAATTTTAAAAATCACCTATTAAAGGAAACAAGACTCAAAAGATAGTAAATTATTTACAAAAGCTGTTTTAAGATAAAATAATTGAATTAATTTTTATTCCCTAGTATTTTTAAAGTCAGTATTTACTAGAAAATAACTTTTAAAACCAAGTTTGGCCCTAACAGGTTTGGCTCTGTGAATAGAGCGTTGGCCTGGGGACTAAAGGATCCCAGGTTTGATTCCAGTCAAGGTCATGTATCTTGGATGCGGGCACATCTCCCATAGAGGGTGTGCAGGAGGCAGCTGATCAATGTTTCTCTCTCATCGAAATTTCTAACTCTCTATCTCTATCCCTCTCCCTTCTGTAAAAATTAATAAAATAAAAATCAAGTTTGATGTAATAAATGTTTTACATTTAGTTTAGTTAGATCATTACATTAAATGGAAAACATTATACTATTGTTTCTTGTCAAAAAGATTAATGTTCTTAAATACTACTGATACAGCACTAAAGTAAAAACATTTCTAAAAAGATTCTTATGGATAGTGATACTGTTTTGCTGTTGAGAAATAAGAAATGAAAATGATGTGGGATGTGTTTGTGTTTTATGTTTTTATTGATTTTAGAGAGGAAGGGAGTGGGAGAGAGAGAGAAACATCAATAATGAGAGAGAGAATCATTGCTCCACTGACTTCTGTATGCCCCCTACTGGGGATCAAGCTTGCAACCAGTTAGGGCATTTGACTGAGAATTGAACAGTGACCTCCTTATTCATAGGTTGACACTCACCCACTGGGCTACATTGGTCAGGTAATGTTTTTAACCTTTAATATTTAAAATATAGATTTATACGAACAACAAATCAATCAGCTCATATACAAAAATTCTAAAGTATTCTCTGCATTCTCTCTTTAATACGTATTTCATAAAATGAGTGGTGCTGCTGTCATTGTTATAAACTCCTGTGGTGATATTTGCCCTGACAGCATCTCAAGTTCCTCGGGCTACCCTGGCCGGATAGTGCTGTTGGTTAGAGCATCATCCCGATACACCAAGCTGTGGGTTCTATCCCCAGTCAGAGCACACACAAGAATAGGTGGAGCAACAAATAAACCTTTCTTTCTCTCTCTAAAAAAAAGTCAAAAGTCTCATTAAAAAAAAAAAAAAAAAAAAAAAAAAAGGTTGCTATGCTAGGCAGGGCCTTGGTTGTAGTAAGGTTCTGCTTAGGCCACATAATAGAATGCAGAGTGTGAGAGCTTTACCAGGGTCAAATCTCAGTTTATTTCTACTAATGTTGGTCAAGTTACTAAACCACCTGCACCTACTAGTAAGTTTCCACAACAGGAAAATGGAGCATTGAGGTCTGAGGACTCTAAACCACGTTGCATAGAAAGTGCCTGGCACATAGTCTGCACTGACAGCAGCAGCACAAAGCAGACACGTACTGGCCATACCCAGAACCATGTGCAGGAGCTCAAAGACTTACTGGATTTGACTCAGACTCTACCTGTAGTTTTTCAAAGTTATTTTTTTAACCGTTTGGTACAACATTTTTTAAAAATTTAAATCTAAAATTATTTGAAAATTAAGTAATAGACTCCTTCGGCAACAAAATTTGAGGGACAAAAAGGTATATAGAAAAAAACTAAATATCTTAGGTGTATAATAACATATGACTCAATGCTTGCTTCTCATTAATTTAAACAAAAACATAACCATACTGCTTTGTATTTATTCTATTATCTCTTATCCTTAATAGTTAAAATTTCTTCTAATTTTTATCATTTCTCTCAGAGATATGAATTCTTTCTTATGTACAATTAATTCTTAATGAACCACACACTACTGATGATTCAAATGATATTGCAGAAGTGAATTACTCAATTCTTTCTTTAATGCAGTACCCAAAATCATCTGTCATCTCAAAAATCCTTATATCCAAATAAAAACTCAGGGTCAGCAGACTAAGTCTTCAGAAAGTTCTGCATCTCTAATAAGAACCTTCTTAATTCACTTACAACTTTTTTCCCCATAATAAAATCAAAACAGCCCGACGAGTGTGGCTCAGTGGTTGAGTGTTGATCCATGAACCAGGTTATAGTCTGATTCTCAGTCAAGGCACATGTCTGGGTTTTGGGCTCGATCCCCAATAGGGAGCATCCAAGAGGCAGCTGATCAATTCTCCCATTCTCTTTCATCATTGCTTGCGCGTGCGCGCTCTCTCTCTCTCTCTCTCTCTCTCTCTCTCTCTCTCTCTCTCTCTCTCTCTCTCTTCCTCACTGAAATCAATATATTAATGTGTGTGTGTGTGTTATATATATATATAGTGAGTTAGGTTAAACCACCAGTCATTGTAAACTATGGGTAGTGTTTGTCACTTTCTTTCTAATTCCCCTTTCCCTCCTATCCCATTTGGCAGGGAAAACTGAGTTCTCATGTTACTGAGTTTTGAAAGCATTACTACTTTGTAGAATAAAACTATACAAAGATTCCAAAATAGCTATGTTGCTAGTAGAGAAGTTATATTTTTCATGCTTACCGAGGACTTGACTTTTCCAGCATCGACTCTTTCATAAACCGGGGTGCAGTACACTATCAGCAGAAGGAGGCAAAGGAGAAAGGCACTGCTGCTTACAAATTCAAAGAAGTAAAGTCCTCCACACAAAGTGCACTGAGATACCACCTCTTCACAGATAAAGGCCAGCAGAGACAGCAGCTGCAAAAGAAACAGCACTTCACTGCGGTGTTCCCAGAGAAACCTCCCGTGTTCAGAAAACACCATCTGTTCACCCAACTGTTTATAAAGTGGAGACCATGGCAAACAAGCTTACCGAGTGGCTGACCTACACAGAACTTACAGTCTGGCTGCTTTGAAGGGAAGATAGGTATACAAATGATTAATCCATTACCACGTGCTACAGAATACGGGAAATACAGGGTATTGCTATAAAAAACACACAGAAGTCCAGCCCAGGTGGCTGAGTGTCACCCTGTGCACCGAAAGGTTGCTGGTTCAATTCCAAGTCAGGGCACGTACCTGGGTTGTTGGGTTTGATCCCTGGTTGGGGCATCTACGGAAAACAATGGGTCGATGTTTCTTTCTCACATGGATGTTTCTCTCTCCCTTCCTCTAAGCACGTCCTCCAGTAAGGATTAAAAAAAAAAAAAAAATTAGCTTTCACTGCTGATAGCGCTCGCAAACATGGTGAACGTTCCTAAAACCTGCCGAGCTTTCTGTAAGAAGTGTGGCAAGCATCAACCCACAGAGTAACACAGTACAAGAAGGGCAAGGGTCCTCTGTATGCGCAGGGAAAGCGACGTTACGACAGGAAGCAAAGTGGCTATGGTGGGCAGACTAAGCCTGTTTTCCGGGGGGAGAGAGAAAAAAAAAAAAGAAAGAAAAGGCTAAAACTACAAAGAAGATTGTGCTGAGGCTTGAATGCGTTGAGCCTAACTGCAGATCTGAGAGAGCTGGCTATGAAGAGATGCAAGCATGTTGAACTGGGAGGAGATAGGTAAGAAAAGAAAGGGTCAAGTGATCCAGTTCTAGAGCATCATATTTTGCTTTATTATATGACAATGCAATCTTGATATGTTAAAAAAAAAAAAAAAAAAAAAAACAACACACATACAGAAGAGCCATGAAACTTAGGAGGCCAGGAAAGACTTTCTGAAGAAAAGCTGAGACCTGAAGGGCAGCAGAGTCCATTTGGGGGTTTAAAGATAGTAGAGAAGTTCCAGGCAGAGAAGCAAGATACATAGAGACCTAAGAGGTGAGAAAGCATGGCACCCTCCCTCCCCAATGCACACACACATATCCCACCAACCACAACTCAACTGTGAAAGCGAGTTGAGTCACCATGACTAATTTGTCCAGTTTGAAGGAAGAAGACAGCAGCACAAAAATGATTAAAGGAGACAGGAGGTAAGCAGAGGCCAGATCTAAATGTCCTCTTTAGTTTAAGGACTCTGGATTCTAAGGGATTTAAAGCAAAGGGTAACATAATCAGGTCCTTGTTTTTGATTGTTCTCACGAGCTGCAGTATGGAGATGGGACAGGAGGAAGGACCAAACTTAGGCAGACATTAGTCGGGAAACTGATGTGTGACATTCAGGAAAAGAGAGCGCCCAGGGCAGCTAGCGGTAATGATGGAGAAGAAGAATGGCCAATCACTGAGAAGTGCAGTAGGGCCTTATTCAACAGGATGGATAACAACAGAGTAGAAAACAAGATAATACTGAAACACGTATGGAAACACAAAACATTTCTTCACCAATCATTTGAAGTGGGCTTGTGTCTTGAGTAAGAGCCAACAAAATTGGAATTCCACATTGTGTTTTTTCATTAATCCCTTCAATCATTTATGACAACCATTCCCAGACTGATAGTATTTGAAGGGGAGCAAGATCTTAGACACTGATAATCAGAGTACAGAATCTTTCCAGAGTTGGGCCAGCCTTTCACACTTGTCTTGCACTTAATTCCACAGCAAATATTTTAATAATTTACTTTTCGTCTTTCCAAAGCATATTTTAAAATGTACTTTTACTGATTTCAGAGAGAGAGAGAGAGAGAGAGAGAGAGAGAGAGAGAGAGAGAGAGAGACATTAATGATGAGAATCATTGACTGGCTGCCTCCTACTGGGGATCGAACCCGCAACCTGGGCATGTGCCACTGACCAGAATTGAACCCAGGATCCTTCAGTTTGACCATAAAAATTATAAACAGTACAAACCATTATGGGAATAACATAAGTCAACTGATGGCAGAGGTTAAGAGTAAAGGGTGCCCCGGCCAACGTGGCTCAGTTGGTTGGGCATCGTCCCGTGCACTGAAAGGTTGCCAGTTTGATTCCCAGAGCTCATGCCGAAGTTTCGGGCTCCATACTCAGTTGGGGCACATACAAAAGGCAGCTGATTAATGTTTCTCTCTCCCTCTCTCTTCGTCTCCCTAAACAAAAATAATTTTTAAATAAAATTAAAGAAAACAGAAAAATTATTTAAAAATAATTTTTAAATAACAATTAAAGAAAACAGAAGAGCGAGCCAGAGGGGCCAGGAAGCCCCATGGCTGTGCAGGATAGACAGGAATAGGTCAGAATGACTTTGTGCACTGAGTAAGTGGTTAACTCTGGTTGATTTGGCAACTCAATTAAATGGAAGTGGGTTTTAATCGTGTTCCCACTGTTATACATACATGCAGTATTAACATATTGATGCTTCACTGCAGAAAGAAGAGTTGTGTTTTAATTATACTGTGTATACTGTAGGAGAGTTAGGATCTACAGCTCAGAGGAGAGGTGGGAGGTGGAGATAAAGATGTCGGGCCTTGGCCAGGTAGCTGAGTTGGTTAGAGTATCGTCCCAATACTCCAATATTGAGGGAACCATCCCTCATCAGGGCACACACAAGAAGCAACCAATAATATCTAAATAAGGGAAATGACAAATTGGTATCTCTATCTCTCTCTCAAAAAACAAAGATCTGGGAGTCAGTCAGTGAGTTCACCTAGAATTAGAACTCTGAAGAACCCAAAGATTGAAGGGATATGCAGAGGGGGAGACACCAACAAAGGACAATTAGGAGGAGGAGTCCAAGAGTAGCAGACCAAGAAAAAAGTATTTCTATGAAAAGAAAGGGATCTAAAGTGCTGAATGCTACTTAGGAGTCGGGGAAGAACAAAACTGAAACACTTACACTACACTGAGCTGTAAGAAGGTTGCTGGTGACATCAGCAAGACAACTTGAGAGTAGTCAGACCGGGAAGCCTAGCCTGCAGCACTGCGCAGTAGGAAGTGAGGGGAAGACAAGGCAGTGAAATCCAGACAGCACAGGCAAGACGTGTGGTTTCAAGAGTGGCCAGATAGGGTAGAAGATGAGGTCAAAGGGAAGGGAATGACAAGATGGGAGAGAGCTGGGTGTGTTAAATACCTCTTCAGCAGAAATCAGTAAGATGGGTGTGTCTAAAGAGAGGAAGAAGAGAGGATCTTCAAAGGTAGGATTTGGAGCTCAGGAGTGGGACTAGCTCCTCTCCAGAAATAAGAGGGGGGAAAAGTGAAGGGAATTTTACTTGGGCTGTTTGTGTGGGTTTTGAGGACGCGGAGGGAGTTTCCTCCTGAGCGTTAAAACTATCAAAATAGCTGATGACCCAAGTAGATGCCTATGGGGAAATGCCACCTCACCCGTGTCAGGCCAATAGGAGCAATCAGATATATTAAGGGCAGCAAAACTGCTACCAAAGTCAACAGATACATTTCATAGGGTACAATAAAAACTTAACCTATAAAACATTTCCATACAAAAGAAGTCAGTGGTACAGATGGAAAACGGTTTAGCACTTTCTTTAAAAAAAAACTAAGCACGCAACTGCCGTGAAGCCAACAACTGTATTTCGGCATCTTGCATCCAACCAAGAGAAATGAAAACTTATGTTAGTGCAAAATTGACACATGAAGGTTCATAACAATTTTATTCACAATAGCCCCAAACTGGAAACAATCCAGATGTCCTTCAATGGTTAAGCAAACTGTGGTAGGCACATCTGTATTACAGAATACTACTTAGCAACAAAAAGGAACAAGTTTGACATATAACACAACCTAGATGAATTTCCAGAGAATTATGCCAAGTGAAAAAAATCTAATTTCCAAAGGTTATAGACTGCATGATTCTGTTCATATAGCATTCCACAGAACACAAAGATTATAGAGATGAAGAACAAGTTAGTGGTGCCCAAGGGAGAGAGGAGTGGTGTGGCTAAAGCGGAAGCATGAGGGGACCCCGTGGTGACGGACAGTTCTAGATCTTGATTACAGTAGTGCTTACAGGAAGCTACACACGTGACAAAATTGCGTAAGAGTAACGCGCACGTGCAAACACACATGCACACATACAGGACCTCCATGTACATATTTTGCAAGTTCCTGTGAATCTATAGTTACTTCAAAATAAAAGTGTTTTTTAAAGATCAAATCTAAATTGGTATATAAGTGTCTAAGGCAATGGTTCTCAATCTCTAATGCCTCGGCCCTTTAATACAGTTCCTCACGTTGTGGTGACCTCCAACCATAAAATCATTTTCGTTGCTACTTCATAACTGTAACTTTGCTACCGTTGATGAACTATAATGTGAATATCTGTGCTTTCCGATGGCCGTAGGCTCTACAGCAGCGGTTCTCAACCTGTGGGTTACGAACTGCTAGCAGGGTCGCCTAAGACAGTCGGAAAACAGATATTTACGATTCATAACGGTAGCAAAATTACAGTTATGAAGTAGCAATGAAAATAACCTTATGGTTGGGGGGTCACCACAACATGGGGAACTGTACTAAAGGGCCTCGGCATTAGGAAGGTTGAGAACCACTGGGATTTCCCCCCTTCTACTACTGAGCAATACAAAATTCATATATCCCCACAACTTCAAAGAATCATAGAAATAGAAATATAGATCCTACTGCTGTATTTCCTGTCAGTGAAGCATAAAACCATCCAGTATATCCCAAACAACTTCCTTCACACAGACCTTGGTGTGGTTTTTCCAATCACTAAACCATAGGACATAAAGGCCACACCAAGGCAAACCCAGAAGGTCATTGTGTAACTACTTCCTTGGTCTCCTGTGATTATAGTTACAGGATGAGTCTTTACAGGTCTAGAGTATAAGAAAATACTGTCTAATGTTCCATATGTCCTAATCTTGCCTCTATCTTAGGAGT